CTTTCAGTAGCTGGTATGGCATGTGGCACTGGGCATTGAACCTGGCTCCTTGTGCGTGCTGGGCAGGTGCTTAGACCGCCAAGCTATCTCCCTGGCCTAGCTTTATTTTCTAATATGGTGACTATTGATAGACGTAATCCATATAAACAAAAGCTCATTGAGAGATTTTAATTTTTAACATTTAATAGAACCTTGTCCTGTGACCAAAATATTTCAGAATTACTGATTGTGAGAGAGAGAGAAAGAGAGTCAGAGACAGAAGTGAAACTAAAAAAATGAGAGTCAAATTTGAATAGTTTGAAAATAATTTTGGTCCCCATTAAATTTGCATGTGAGATTCCCCGCCTGCTTCCCCTGGCTGGGCAGAGGCTGAAAGCAAGGCTGCTCTGGGCTCAGAACTCCCTCTGCAGACTCTCTCTGCCTCGAACTCTTAATCCAAGCGACGCAGGGAATCCTGGGACCCAACCGGGTGCACAGAGGACGAGATCTGAGCATAGTCAGGAGCCCAGAGCCCGGGGCCCAGCGCAGCTCCAGCCTCATGTTCTTAAGTTGTCCAGGAGAACACCATTAAGGTTCATTTACTTTTTTTTCAAGTTGTTGCCATTTTTCTTTCTCAATCCGCTGTTTTTCAAGCCTTTCTTGTTCTTCCTTCTCAGATTTCAAGCGGGCTTCCTCTAAAGGCCAAAGAGAGGCAGAAATCAAGTAAAAATGATTATGATTATATATTATATATCCTTAGTATATTATATGTCATAATGTTATGACATATAATTATATATGTAACTATACAGTTTTATATAAATTATAATTATATAAAACTATATAGCTAGTTATATATATCATAAATAGATAAGCTGAGTGATTAATTGCTATATATATGTATATTTTTTTTCTTTTGTATTTTAGAGAAGAGTCTACAAGGCATTCAGGGTCTCACTACTAGATCAGACTCGGAGCGATCCTCCTGTTTACAGCCTCCCAAGAGCTGGGATTACAGGCGCGCACCACCACACCCAGTCTCAACCGTAGTCTTACTGCACCCCTGCACCTGCTTGCAGGTGCTCTAATCTATTGAGCTATTTGGTTGGCTCCTTTATTGCTCTATTTTTAAGCCCTTAAGATCACGTTAAGTATTTTCAAGATGTGGTGGAATATCTTATCAAAATCACAATTTTGTTTTGTGATAGAAATCTAAACAGTGCTAGCTTTTGCTTTTTCAAAAGTAAAACATGACCCTCAAATTTTCTGGCCAAAAAATGGGTCTACAACGATATGTCTCTTCTCCAAAACTTTGTAACAACCAATAATGATCTTCATCCATAAAATAGAACAGCTCTATCATGGAGAATTCAGGGGAGATGAAGTCCTCAGAAGACGACCATAACTGTGACATCTGTGTCACTGGAAGGCATCATCCTAACTTTCTCTTGCTCTATGAAAAAAAAAGTAAAATACATGTTGACGAATATAAGTTCACCCCACTGTTAATAAATCTTTCCCCAAGACATGGGTTCTGAGATTGTATTCTACCACGAATCACCAGAAGAATAAAAAAAAATTTAAAAAGGATTTATAAGACTATACACTTAAAAAAAAATAGACAAGGAGCCTGAATCTTTCAAAAACTTGAATATGAATGTAAATACAGTGTTCTAAATGTTAAAAGGTACAACCTTAAGGATATTCAGAACTTTAAAATCACATTTGGTGTTTTAACTAACCAGTGCCTTTAGCGATGGTTGTTTTTTTTTTTTTTTTTTAATAAATGAAATTGACTCTTTTGCGATTGGGACTCCCTGTGCAATCCAGGCTGGCTTTGAAATCATTACATAACCCAAGCAATCATGGTGAGCCTCCTGCCTCAGCCTCCCAAGGGCTGGCATGACAGGCATGTGCCACCACACCAGTGAAATTGGCATTTTAATTAGGCCAAACATGTTGTGACTGAAGAACAAAGACTTATCTGTATTTCTTATTAAAGTATATTTACCATTCTAAGTGAATTTCAGTTTCAAAATTCTTACTCCATTTTCAGCACCAATGTCCCTAGTTTCATCAGTAAATATAAATACTTCAAGATAGGGTTGCCAGAACTAGCAAAGGAAAA